TAAACTACTGCTACATACAGGTGAATGTGTCTTTTCTTTATACTAAGAAACTAAAGGCGGGAAGGCTAGCAAACAGCCAGGCAGCAGTTTGCTAGGTTTTTCATTTTGAAGACAGACTTACTTAAGTGATATGTCCAGTTTAAAAACAAGATTTGTTTTTCCATCTCTGATCCAAGTACAGAAATTTAAGATGAGAAACCTTAAGCTCCCACATCTTGAAACTTTGGAAAAAAATGTTTAAATAACATTTCTGAAAGCAGTTGTCAAAGTTTTAAGCTGATCTCAAATTTAAGATGAGAAACCTTAAGCTCCCACAACTTTGGAAAAAAACTTTTAAATAACATTTCTGAAAGCAGTTGTCAACGTTTTAAGCTGATCTTAAAAGCAGTTTTCTAATTAAAGGATTGAAAATTGATCTCCAGCATGGACAAGAAAGAGCCCTGGATAGACATTCAATACCTATATCTAAAGGATTGAAAATTGATCTCCAGCATGGACAAGAGCCCTGGGTGGACATTCAATACCTATAATATCTTATTTTTCAGAAAGTACTTAATTTCTCTCCTGCAAGTGTAAAAATTATGCTCTATTCTAAATATATAGGCTTTTTAGAGTGTCTTTATGAGGTTTGCTCCATGTTTCTGCTGCACAGGTCAGTGGCCAAAACCCACGGTAAGAAGCCAGCTTCAGAGGTTTTAAGCCTACACAGTGCCTGGATTTAAGTGGTTTTGAGAAGGAATCTGTACAATACAATTACATTAAGTTATTTACGATTTATGGGCCCCCAGATGCGTTTTTCTGGCTCTAACTCTGACTAGCCACTCCCATAAACAGAGTATTTACCAGAGCTTAAATATTCCCAGAGATAGCTTTTTGAATGGGGGTACTTGTCAAACACCATGTCTTTCCATCCTGCATCTACATTTAGTTTCATGATAATATGATAAGAAAGGGAATATTTCCTAACAGAGAAAAAGCCATAGTTTTGGTCTGATCCACCCTATCACCACTCCAGAGTGCCATAAGCAAACCCCTCTCTTGGCTAAGCAACTGCAGCCTTCAGCTGAGGGACAGGGTGACAATGCAAGCATGTGGATCTGTGTAAGAAACTGCTTCAAGGCCAAGTAGGGGATTTGTCTCACGGGATTTTATTTTTTTTCTTAAATCAAAAGTTATGAGGGACAAGATCAAATTTTGGTAAATGTTTTGAATTGGGGGATTATCCCCTTCTACCTGCACATAGAGAAACAATATAGGCTTTTATTGTGTGGTATATTACCAAGGCAGAAGCCATGTCTAACAACAGCTGAATACACACATGGAAGTGAAGTGCCCCAAGAAGGTCAAATTGCTACTCACCTGTACAACTGCCTGCTCCTTGTTGAAGGATCAGGCATTTAAGATGCCTGCAGGTGATCGCAGGGCTCTAACCTGAAGCTACCACCTTTCTGATGGCTCTGCTGTGCCAACAGCAGAGGCTGACTGCATCTTCCTGATATGAAGTGTAGGTAAATGAGGAGGTGTGTCTGCTCTCTTCTGCATATGTAGAGTACAGGACTATAGGAAGGAAAAGCCAGCTGGACTAACCAATATAATCTTTATTTTAATTTAACCCACAGAAATAGGGCTCTTGCTCAGTTACATCTAACCCCACAAAAAAGTCTAGAACCAAAAACTGTCCCAGCTGTTCAGATGGCAAAAGCCTATTCAACATTTAGTGCCTAACAGCAACCAGTATCAGAGTACTCAGGGTAAGGTATTTGCAGAACACTCCTGCTGGCTTCTGCATCCTGTAACACCCAGTTACAACCAGCCAAGAAGCAGGGACATATTGGTGTTAAAGCCTCCTCTCAGCTTACTTGGAAAACAATCACCGTTGCGGTGCAAACCAGCATTTAGTTCTTTCCAAAAAAAAAAGGAAAAAAAAAATCACAGCCAGTGGGTAATATTTAAAGCAAGTTCTCTCCCACCCCAATGTTGTACCATTGTTTCAATAACTCAAGTTACATTAAGCTCAATTAGAAGTTAGCAAATTGCATTTATTTTCTACATAAACTACTAGTGCTTATAAAGCAAATTACTCAGAGGAAAAAAAATAGGCGTTTGAGACCACAAAGGAAAAATCCAAACAGAAAGCAAACAGTAAATGCAGGGATCAAAGAATCAAACTCACTTCTGGACCTAGATTTCAGTGTAATTTCCCTATAATAGTCATAAAGAAGGACAATTAATCTGCTTCAGCAGTATGAAGTTATTTTCATTTCAGAAACTGGTCTCCCACCTGCCTATTAAGAGTGTCTAATAATCAAACATATTTCAATTAATTTGAAAAAAGCCATCAGGGAACACAAACGTGTATCCCCATGGCTAAAGCACAGCACCAACAAAATTCAAGACTTATTTTATATTCTCCATCATAAGGCTGAAAATATGCTATTGTGATTTGAACGGCATTATAGAGGCTTATTTTGACTTGGTTGTCATTAGAAACTAATGAGCTGAATACTGTATTTGGTAGATATTTGGTTTTAAGCACTATTCTAAACTGTCAAGATTAATCACAATGATACAACTTAAGTATTTATTTTAACTTAATGTACCAAAACAAATGTGTTATACTCCCAAGATAAGTGAAATTAATTACCCTACAATCATCACAACAATCCTAAAACAGAATTAAACTTAAATTGGAACCTGTACGCATTAAAAACCCAAACGTTTATGAGCGCAGGTTCACCACACATTCGCTACACTCCAGTGCCATCTGTCTATAAAAAGATAATTAACATTTTCAATAAGAAGAAATACAGCTTGTTATAAAGTGTACTTGGTCCTAGGCCATTGAATCCACTTAAATTCCAAAGATGAATAACACTGCTGATCCTTTTCTGAATTAAGAGACCATTAAGAAACACTATTTGCTCATTGTATATTTAAAGCAAACTTTTTTAGAAAACAAGTTCATCCAGAACGTGCTGATACAGAGATACTCTTTGGAAGTCTCACTCTTAACTACTCCCTCAATTAACCTTGAAGTCTTCCTCTAACATTGAGCAATTTAGCCGCATTCTGAAGACCCCAGAGAAGCTGGGAATGACTACTCTTGAATTTGCATTTAGAAGACCATTTGGGGACAGCCTTTTGAAAGTCCACAACCATCAGTGGAGCGACACAAAAATAAATGCTCTGCCAAGCGCTGCAGCACAAGGGATCTGACACGGACCCCGGTGCTGAGTACAAAGCAGGTTCATTAAATGCAGAGCCTTCCCTTTCCTCCTGCACAGTGGCTGGCTGGTGGGCTTTGTTTTCTCCTCTGCCTGTGAAAAGGGAACAAATACAGGTTGTTGGGCTCTTTTTACGAGTCTGGTAGCAAACGGAACAGGTTTAAAAGAGCCTGATGTTAATTTAACAGAGTGCATTCTTGCCGCTCTGCCCCAAGGTGTATTCCCACACACCATGTAGAGAAGCAAAACACTAAGCTTCATGCTACTACTTTTTGGGGAAAAAAATGCAACAAACTATTCAATCGCACTCTTTTTGAAATGCATGTATTTTTTCAAGGAAAGATGGAGCTTCTAAAAGACTAACTATCGCTTTCCAAGGAGCAATTAGAGCAGAAGAGGGAAGTAAGACATTTTCCAAGCGCCCGGCTGCCTTCCTCCGCCTTTATTGCCCCCTTTAGAGGTGCCTGAGCCCGCTGCGAGTGCCGAAGCCCCGGAGGCAGCCCGATCCCTTCCAGTCGCAGCTGTTTTTCCAGTAGTGCCATCTACTGGTTTCGCTCCGCCTTCAGGCTCCGCGGAGAAAACCCTCTCCCCGTCCAGGCTGGGCGGCACAGCTCAGCCCCAGCACAGTTCAAACCCCCAAATCTCTTCTGGCCAGGAATGAGTACGGTTCTTCAGCGGCTGGTGCAGACGTGTGAGACTGCAACACAGCTTCGGCTTAGAAAAAGGCTGTTGTGCCTCATTTCCTCCTCAAGGAGTTTTACAAAAGCAATTCATTATGGATTCCTCTTCCTCTCCTTTTATCTAAAGAAAATTTAGTGTTGTATCTCATTTTATTCCAAAAAAAATACTATTTCCATAAGTCAGACAAAATAACTTTCTTATTAAGTAGCTACTAGTCCAGGGAAAACATGTATTTCACATGAGTGTGTTAACAGCTAGAATCACCTACAATATACAGACATACACAGGGAATGGTTGTGTTGCACTCATGATTTGGAGTCCTCAGGGAGAGCAGCTGTAGGGATTAGGCAAGACGAGGTGTCTTTAGGCAGTACTCAGAGAAGGCAGGCAGGCAAAGGAAGGAGAAAAGTTGGGGCTGCAGGCCCAGAGCAAGGGGGGGAAGCAAGGCAGGAGAAATGCAATGAAGGTAGAAGTGTGCCTTTGGGCACCAGGCGTGTCTGGCAACAACTTTGGTATCGATGCATGACTTCTGGAGAGTCCTGTAAACTGGAGCTCATTTGTCTTTATAGTACGTATGCACACACACACAACAACTTTGGTATCGATGCATGACTTCTGAAGGGCCCGGTCCTGTAAACCAGAGCTCATTTGTCTTTATAGTACGTATGCGCACACACATCTGCAGAGTAGGTTCTTGTTTAGACCTCAGTGTTTCACCAGTACAGTATTCAGCAATGTTTCCCTCTGATGTTGTTCTATGTTGTTTTGTCAGTCTCCTAAAAAGACTGTTTTCTGCCAAGAATGAATTCACCATCCGCACCCCTCACCTCAGCACCACTGTGGTTGCCTGCCTTCACCATCACCAAGTGTGGGTTCAGTTCACCAAGGACTGAAACAGCTTTATCCTGAGCTTGTTGGCTGGTCAGGTACATATCCCACTGCTTCAGTTTTCTGCAAGCTACCATCTGTTACCTTTGCTTTTTCTCATTCCTTTTCCACATTTTTCAACATGTCTGAACTTGATGGCAACAGACCAAGTACTGACTTTGAGCAGATCTCTCCAGCTGCAAGAAGAATCCCATCTGTAGCTTCAGGCTACCCCTTCACTTCATCAGCTTCTTTTTCTTTGCTTGCAATTGAAGCCTCAGCAATATTTTCAGGTGGTTTATCATCAACTAGTATTAAACACGAGGCAAGCTCACAGCTTGCAGCAGTTGCTCCCATTTCAGCCTTTGCAACACTATTTGGAAGGTCTTCACTGGTTGTTTCTCCCACATCTTCTGTCTGCATTTCTTGCTCTTTACTCTCTTCTGTACTGCTGGAGCCCACATTAATGGAACATTCGCAGTAATAGTAACCAGATTCCTGCTTCTTCTTACGCATGGCACACAGATCAATTTGACTGAAGACCTCTGTGCCAAAGTAACTGTCTTCATATTCTTTATACAGATCTGAACAAATTTTTCTGAAGCCCTAGATATTGAAAGACCAATGTGACATTGTATGTATATTGTATACATACACAGAAAAATACATGCACTTTAGAAAGTTACAAGATGCATCAGGTATTATCTTAAAATTTAGCAAAGAAAATACTCCAATCTGGCCCCAATTAGGATGGCAGTATCAACTTAATTTGGTAGTATTTAAGTTGATACTGAGAAAAATCATCCACTACTAGTGAAAGTTATAGCAAGTTTGGCTTTTGCTGAATCCTCCACCTACCCACCCTCTGCAAGCAAAAACATACCAAAGATACAGATCAATTTAACCCACAGTTATTTATATTCATCTATCTAATTTCAGTTATTTCAAGCAAGTTCACAGTCACCACATCCATTGGGAAGTTATTCCCTAGTCTCCTGAATTGCCTTTAGGAGGGATTTCTTTATTTAACCCAAAGTTTACTTTGCTCAGTTTCATCCTGTTGCTTTACAGACTGAAACATTAATCCTTCTCCTTGGCATACACATTCCACATCAGTAATTGTGTGTTAGAGACAGGTTAGAAATAGAGCTCATGCACCTTCTTCCCTGTGAGCAAAGAAGTATCCGAAAGAAATTTAACTCAGTGACTTATTGTGAAAGCAAGCTCATTTCAGCAAGCCAGAAAAGAAAAAAAAAAAACCACAGCAGCTCTTAGATAACTACCAAGCACTGCTAGTATCCCAACGGCCAAATGCTACAGCAGTCATGGCGTATAAATAGAAGTGTTTACTCCTACAGATGTGTTTTCAGATGTTGACATGTTCTTTTCAGACTGAAGAGTAACTTCCACTGCTATAATCAAGACACATGTTCAGAAACCATTGTAATTTACAACTATCAAGATTTAAAATCAACAGTCCCTGTGCCCGAGTAATTTCTTTGCAGTTCGCCCCCCAATGAGTTCAGCACAGCAGCACTGGCTCCCCTGTGCAAGTGTCACCATGGACAGGCAAGCAATCCAAGAATTCCACAGCCCCCACAACTTTAATTCAGCTGCCAATTTAAATAAGGGGCTTCCACAAAGCATTTAGCCTATAACAAACCACATATGCCAGGGGCACATGGAGATGAAGTGAAGGACAGATGAAGCAACAGGGAATAGTCTCCACCTTCCCTTAACCTAATGAGTGGGTGAGCTAACAAGGCTCCAAGGAGCCCCTTGCAACACATTGCTTCAAAGTAGTCAATCAGTTTGTTCAGCCCTGCTCCCAGATGCACGGGAGCATGCAATTAAAAAAAAAAACAACAAAAAAAGCCCCTTTACAACCTTCCTTCTTTGTAATGACATCCTTTTCAGCAGGCAGACAGGCATGGCTTATGGCATGGGAGTTGTAGGAGGATGGCCAGAACAGCCAGTATCACCTGGACAAAATTAGATATAAATAGCTTTGCAACCAAACCATTAGGCACTGCTGCCCCTGATGACCAAAACACTTCAAAGTTTAATTAAACAAGCCACACACCTCCTGTGCCCCAGAGGTACCCACGTGTCAGGCCTACAGGTCCCTGGAGAGTAACAACCTTCACTGACAAAAACACTTCTTAGTCTGCAGGCTGCGGAAGGCTCTTACTACAGACAGATACTGAAGTGGATTCTCTTAAAAGGTGAACTGTTCCCTTTTGGCTCACTGGAAAGAGAGAGGTCAGAAAACCTGAAGAGCCCATATCTTATATTTATGCCAGGGGCACACTACACATTTTGAACCCGATCAACAAACAGCACATACTGCTCCTTCGGTAGCTATTCAAGCTAAATAGCACAAACCAAGCTCTCCCCAAGCTCTTGAGATCTTTAAACACACAAAGTCAAAGATGCACAATTTCCAGAGATCAAAGTTTGCAGTTGTAGGAGTGGTTTTAAAGAGAACCAGTTCCTCCTTTCCCACAAATAAGAACAAAGTCTGCAGCTACTCCACAAGTATCACACATACCTGTCTTGCTAACAAAGTATTCTTGAGATGTAAAATGTAAACATTGAGTGTTAGTGATTATTTCTCAAGCTTCATATAAGCAGCACTTAAGTTGCATGAAGTACTCAAACTGCATCCTTACCACAAGGAAACAGTTATTTATGGTATAAAGAAAGTAATTACAGCCAGTAGATGGCATCATAATAACTAAAATAATATTTTGTCTTATACTTGGCATCTTCTAGTGTTTAGGAAGGTAGCTTTCTCTCCTGCAGTCTTTAGGGATGAGATATTACAGAAGTAGTCAGTCTACCTCCTTTATTTTTCCATTACCTTTTGATTTTGAGAGGCAGTAAGTTGTCCATATTTTCAGTTGACACGTCAGATCTCAGATACATACACATTAATCTTCCAGTTTGATCTTTGAGGTTAAATCCTATGTCTAGGATTGAGCCTTACTAACCTCAGGGCGATTTGTACATGGACATACAGAGTCCACATGCCCCGTGATAGCTAACTTAACATACAGCCCTGCTTCACTTTGATTTCACAGCCCTAGTGTGTAGAATAGTATTTTAGGAGCAACAGTTTTAAGGTGCAAATAAACTTTACAGGAATGAGCAATGCTTGGTAGGCAAGGGAAGAGCAGTAAGTATTGTCTACCTGGACTTCAGGAAGGCTTTTGACACTGTTTTCCCATAAGATCCTCATAGAAAAGCTGATGAAGTATGGGTCAGATGAAGAGTGAGGTGGGTTGAAAACTGGCTGAACAGCCAGGTCCAGAGGGTAGTGATTGGTGTCACAAAATCTAGTTGGAGGCTGGTAACTAGAGATGTAATCCAGGGATCAATACTGTCCAGTATCTTCATTGATGGTCTGGATGATGGGGCAGAGTGCACCCTCAGCAACTTCACTGATGACAAAACTGGGAGGAGTGTCTGATTCACCATGCTGCCATCCAGAGGGACCTCAGCAGTGTGGAGAAATGGACTGACAGGAACCTCATGAAGTTCAACAAGGGGAAGTGCGAAGTCCTGCCGTTGGTGATGAACAACGCCATGCACCAGTACAGGCCGAGGGCTGACTGTAAAGCAGTTTTGCACAAGAGGCCCTGGGGGTCCTGGTGGACACCAGGCTGACCATGAGCCAGCAATGTGCTCTTGCAGCAAAGGCAGCCAGTGGATCCTGGGCTGCATCAGGAGTGCTGCCAGCAGGTTGAGGGAGGTGATCCTTCCCCTATGCTCAGCACTGGTGAGGCCACAGCTGGAGTGCTGGGTCAGGTTCTGGGTTTCCGACTTACTTGATATTCAAGCATTCAAATCTTTATACACTTACATATTTATAACGAAGGAGATCGCATACATGAACCCTACTATAGATCAAAAGAAGATAACATGGAAGAAACTACAACTGATTTTTTTTTTTAACTATAAACTTGACTGTAAAAGAAAGTGTGAAAATACTCTGGACAAAAGTCAACAGTAATTCCAACATACCTATTGTATATTTTCTTTTGCACTAGATATTGCTGATGCCTGTACTTGTGAAATTCCCCATAGGGAGTATAGAAGAAAAAGCCTCCAGCACAGAACTATCAGTACTATCCAACTTTGATTGTACCATGTATACAGAAGGCAAATATCAAGTCAATAGGAACCACTCGAAGTGCACAATACAAGGTCATTTTCTTCAGCTATTATAGCATTTTCTGTTGTTTGTGCATGCTCCTTTAGAGTTTCAGGTTTGCAATATATTGACCTCATAAATACAAGTACTATTCCTGGAAACAAGCAGGACGATATTCCACTGGGAAATGAGCAATCTAATCAGAGGTGTTTTTTACTTTAATTGTGTGTGATAAAATCCCATACAATGCTGCAGTAAAGGTTAGAAAAGCACATCGCACATTTCTAGCATAAATCAAGGCACCAGCCTGGCTTCCAACATGACATTAATCTTGTTCTCAGATAAATATTGCTCAGAAGCCATCCTGCCCTATGGAAACAGCTTGACATTGTGTTTTCATGCAGATTTGACTGGCCACAGCAGAAGGAAAGCACTCTGTACTCCGCAATAGAGCCATAAAAAACATGAGTGAGGGACCTCATCCTTTCCAATTAGATATAAGCAAACACAACTTAGTTGGCAAGTCCATATACAAGCTTTGTTAAATAGAAATTATACTTTTCTCTAGTTGTGATGATTATTAAGTATATTGTCCCCAAGAATTTGATTAGAGGGAAAGTTATCACTACAAAAGATCCCAGTAAATAATATTTTAAACCTAGTTACTTACCCTTCTTTTCAACTTCGGTGCTTTGGAGAGCTTTAGGAAAGTAAGATGTGGCTTGAAATCCTTGCTCCCTGAAATGTCAAGATTCATTTCAACAAAACATTCTTCCACAGCTTCTGGTAAAAGAGATAAAATAAGAAATAAAAACAACAGTTGAGGTATGGAAAAAATATTTACAGGAAGGTTAGACAAAAAGCCCTGTCTCTAGAAAGACACACAGTTAGAACACACGGCAGGTAACCAGTTGTCATACCGTCATGGGCAACACAGGCAAATGAAACGTGAGCAAAACCGGAGTTGTGAATGACGTATAGCAGTGTGTTACAAACCTGAAACTAGATCCAAACTCCCATGTTTGATATGCAGTTGCTTCTGAATTCACAGACCTCCTACAACAGTGGTGAATTCAGGAAAGCCATGCCCATGGCAGCCCTGCCAGGAATAAGATGCAGCCACCAGTGGCCACAGCTGGGGAGTGTAGTGGGACAGATTCTCCCTGATTACTGCAAAAAGCAATGCAAGAAGCAAAGTGCTTCCAACAGAAAGTGGCAAGATTCCCAAAAGTAATACAACTCCGCAGCACTTGGAGCCATTAAGAAGGGAAAGTCACACAAACATAGTACTCCTTCCCCAGATTATGTGATACAAAGTGTTTATGGTGGTCTTTCAGCTAAGGATTGTAATGAGACATCAAGCCAAGTTGATCTGTCCTTGGTTTTCATGAACTTTAAGTTGGGGAGTACAGTGTCATAAGACTAGCAGCTTGAAGCTGGCACGAGGCAGACCTCTGCAAGCCTGGCAAACACAGAAAGTCAAGAGTTGTTCAACAGTTGTGCTTAAACAGTAAAGCAATAATTCCAAAATAACACTGAAAGCCTTGGCAAAGGCAGGAGTACTTAGGATCCCCCTTCAGCAATTTTTCTTATTGCCAGTGGACTTTATACATTGGTCATTTAAAGGCGATAAAGTGAAAAAATCAACATCTGCCCTGGAAACCTACAACATTTATATGGCTTTTCCTGCCAAACTCCCCACCTCACCATCTATTTGCTTAAGCACTGGGAGGAGCAGAATCAGTGTTGAAATTTATGTTAAAAATAGCATATCACATATTTAATGAGTGCATTGCTTGAAATCACCTTACTACCATTTTAAACTTCCTGATAGACTGAAACAGAACTACATGCATGTTCACTAGTTTGTCATATGTGTTTGTACCAAAGCCAAGTTTCTGGCTTGGAGTTTAGCTAATTAATACATTAAAATGTTTCATCTCAGTATTTGTGAAGGAACAGCAGCTGGGGCTGTCTACTCACTTTGCCAAGGCAACTGCTTTATATTTTCCAGCTGGAAAATATATAAAGAATAGGATCCAGTTGCCTGAACAAGCATCTAGTGCCCTTTTAGATGCCCTACAGGATGTCCACCTGGCCTCCAGCTACCACTGCAAAGGGTACAGTCTGGCTGTAAGTCCAGTGTGGACATCAAAGATAATTTAGGGCATTTAAAAATGGTACTAGGTGATTATGGTTAAGGTAACAAATAACCCCTAAGGTGCCTCTGGTACTTGTCAAATAAAACACATTAACATGAAGAGTTTCTGCATAATAAGTCATCTTGTTCCCACACCAGTAGGTCAAAGCACAGCAAACCCCAAAACACGCACGCAGAAAAGTGTCTAAGATCCTTCTAGGCAAAAGGCCCTCCCCACACATCTGGCCAAATAGCATCCTCTAGGTGCATAAAAAGCAGCAAACCAGAGGTTGATGTAACAAAAACGTGAAAGTAGCATCATGTTCACCACTCAGCACCAGTCCTACCCCAAAGAGCAGGAAAGAATTGTTACTGCAAGGTGAAGGTCTTACTTCCCTGAACAGAGTTTCAACAAATGGATGGAAGAAAGGTCAAGGCTAGGAATTATATTCAAGCAGTTGGTTTAGGAACAAGGTTCATAGCTGATGTCCTGCCCATGTCAGGATGGCACTCAATTTTCCAGACACTGTCTTCCCAAGCTCACTTGATAAATATCCTAAGAAAATTCCAAGACATCTTTAGTACCTCTTTTTCAAAGCAGATGAGGTCACTAGCAGCAAAAGCAGCACAGGAATGCTCAGTACTTACCAATTAACTGTAGTTAATTGATCAAAAGACGGGCTGACTCTCCACTTTGAAACTGAAATCCACAATGGAGGAGAGAAAGGCAATTAAGAGCCAGCCACCTATTTTTATATTTTCTAATGCCAGAAACACTTCAGAGGTTCAAAAACTTTGTTAGAGCAGGCTGAACTGTTAAACTGCTGCTGACAGTCATCAATAAGGGCGTGGTGATGCGGAGGCAGCTGGCAGGAATAGCTTGACCTTTGCCAGTCAAATCGTTTGCCTATCATGCTGCTTGAAAAGGCAGCATTTGAAAATCCACACCTACCACATGAGCAACCAAAAATATTGACTAAAAGAAAAAATACCTAATCATTGTATAGCAATTATTTTCAATTGCCATGCTGAGGGAAAGGGGGAGGAGAAAAAAACAGAGAAACCTTTCTTCTAAGATGTCATTTAAAGGAATAGATTTTTTTTGTATGTTTGCATAATCCCCAGATTCATTAAGTTCTAGAAACAGTCAGAAGTTATGCAGAAAGAACAACACTGGAAGTTACATCTCTCTGAATAGCAAAGCCATTGGTGACAGAGTTAACAGCTTGAAAACTGGCAGCTTGTCTCACAGTCAGGGAAGTATTTCAGGCAGTCAGTGAACAGTCTTATTGCATTAAAAACACACAAGTACCAACAGAATATCTGTGGCTTACAATCAAAATTTTTCTCCTCCACCTTATTAATAAAGAGGTTCAGATCAGAAGCTAGACACCAGGTTTCCAGAACCCTGAAGATGGATGTTATCCAGATAGAGAACAGGAAGGATCTGCCACCCACTACTGTAATGGCTTTTAGAGTTAATGAAGCTCCAATATCATTAAAAAAAAAGAAAAAAGAAAAGTGAGCATCATAGCACACATTCTGCAGAACCAAAATTAAACATTTCTGCGAGTACTAAAATAGCATGATAAAGGTTGATCTTGTATGCTATGATTCATTGGGAATAAAATTCTCAGTTAAGCAAAACAATGAGTAGAGAGAAAAACAGCAGTAGTCAGACTAGGAAAAAGGAGCTATTCACTTCATCTTTCAGAAGCAAATGAGGAGAGCTAAGATGGGGGGCATCAAAACAGTCAAGCAGTCCCTTTCGATGACATTGAAGTATATCTACTGTTGTAGACAGGCATGTACCAAATAGGATCTTAAAGGAAATTACATCATGTGCCTTCTACTTAGTCCTCTTCCAGTCAAGATTATTTTTGTTGAACTTAAAGACTTCTTTAGAAGAAACAGTTTGGGCACAGGGAAGTTTGCTGAGGCTCTAATCCTAAACAGGGACATCAGAGTGCTTTTGACAAAAGCACAGCTGTTGAGTCAAAATGATCTTTGCCATGGATGGAACAATAAGAGAAATGAGGGACAGAATCAAGCAAAAGGTAACAGATAATGAAGTCACTAATTTTATCTAGCCGAGGCAAAGCAGCTGTTCATGTTAAGAAGCATCTTCTGTCTAGCTGCGACACTGACTAAAGAGGGGAAATAAAGAGGAGAAGAGAGCAGGACTATTAGATCAAAGCTAAGAACTGGAGGAGGTAGGAAGCAGCTTCCACAAAAACAAAACACTGTTCTGAAAAGTCATATCCTCTGAAGATTACACAGTGTCTTTTTTACTGCATGCCTTTGAGAAGCATTAGTTGAACTATGCTTCCTTTTTGCTTGGTATGAAAATAGCAAGAAAAAAAAAGTATATTGATTATTTATGCTCTGTTGGAAGTGGAAGCCCAGGACAGATTAGATTCTGCATTGCAGGTTAAAGCAGCTCCTAAAAACAGAGCCAGGCTGGTGAGAGGGAAGGAGAGAGTTTCAAGACCTTCTGAAATTGTACTCAGATGCAGGTAAGCAGGTCAAAGACTTGGAACATCTTCCTGAACCCTTCAGTGGTTTGGGAAGTTAGAGAAGAGGACACAAGCTACTCATACTCCTGTTCCACCTCCTACAGTGGAACCAAAAGACCTATTTTGCTGGTGCTACACACATGTGCAGACAAACTGTGCTATTTGTCACCTTCTGTCCCAGAGGTACTTATGATTTTATGCATGCTCCAATTTAAAGGGAGTGCTTGTAAACTCAACTGTGGCCAACACTTAAAAGGTTTACAGTTTATTAGAATGAACAGAGCCCCAGTTTTGAGGTGTCCCTTTGAAGGCCCTGTGTACACCACAGGCCTGCATGATCCTGACTGCAGGGCAGGCTAGGCTAGCCTTGCTCTGTGATCTTGACATGTCAAATATCTGCGCATCTCACCTGTCCCAAATTAGTACAGAGAAGTTATTTTAGCTCACACTCTGCAGGAGCCCAATTGTCAGCTTCATATTTAACAATTAAGAAGCAGAGGAGACAAGAGGAAAGGCAGCACATCACGGCCATGCACAGCAGCTGGGGCTAGTGCTTACAAGAGCTGACAGACTCAACTGGTTTACAAGTGGTAAAGAGTCAGGTTAGGTACTTGCCTGCAACTCTGCTCAGCATTTTCTGGTCTTCCTCTGACATTTTCACATATATCACTTGATTGTTAAACTGTCCAATCCCATGAAATGTCATATTAAGGTCTTTACCCTGCAAGATGGCTTCCACTTTAGTCTTGCTTTGCTTCAGTGCCAGAACAGCCCTTAAAAAATAATTGAAATATATATATTCTGAAAGAAGGTTATTTGATTATTACATATGGAAATATTGTTATGTTTTCAATACAAGACAATATACCTGATTTTGACCACTCTGCAGCAGTATGCAAGTTGTAACAAGCACACTATATTTCAGTGCTAATGCTTTTGTAACAGTTAGAAGATGCACAGGCATTTTAAATACATTGTGTCTTTCAATAACTTCAACCTTAACTTACGTATTAGAAACGAGCTTTGCTAGCAAAGTGAATGTTCAAGTCATTAACATGCCAGAAACAGCTACATAAATATATGCTGCTAGAGAGTCAAAAAGGATAAAACTGAACTTATATTCGTGTGGTGTAGTTTAAAACTTTATCACTGCCATTTTCAACTGGCTCACTAGTTTTATTCTTAAACCAAAATAATTCATTCTCCCACCTGAAACACATTCAGCATTTATCTCTATTATATTCTCCTACAATCCAGGTCAGCTAACAAAATATCAAATTGGGGCTTATGTTGGGAGGTCTATGTCTCATTTCGACAAAGTTTAGATGTGTACCTTGCTGTGCACAGAAATATCTCAAAAAAGTGAATTACCCAAAGACATTAATACTTCAAATTCAACTATTTTTCTTAGACACAGAAAAAGTATAAGCAGTAGGTTCTAAATGTAGACACCAAAGCTTTCAGCAGCTTAATACCCACTGGAGTTTTACAGGTGCCCCTCTTTACCCTGGTGCCTCCGGAAAGGTGTCAGTCCTCAGAGTTTGAGCAAAAACCTTCAGCTAATCCTTCATACTTCTAACAAACTACTGCATAACTAAGGACTGCAGGATACCAGCCCATGGGTTGCCGTAGCTCCTGTAGGCACATTTACTTCACCATTACACCTAGAACAAGTTTTGACTACATTCATTTCATTGTTTAAAAGTCTTCAAATTGGGTAACATTATCCAAATAGAAATCAGGCACTACAATCCACACAGCACAAATTAATCCCCTTAGGAGAGTGTGTTTCACGCATACAAAGGCCACCTCAGCCAACAACAGTCAACATTATGAGCAATCCTCATTACTACATTTGAGTTATTTCAGCTACAACAACATAGGAGCTGCTTCTTTCCAAGACTCCTGAGGACTTTGCAGAGGAAGATTTGCTAAGAACAGGACTGAAGGTGGAAAGGGAATTAATTTTTTGCAGAGGATCTTACTTCTTCCACCTTAATAACAAGCAGGGCTAATCTAGCCCTTCATTTAGGTCCATAATGTCTAAGCTACCATTAAATGCTGCTTAGAACAACTTCTGCCATGGGATCTGAAGATGCCTCCCTCCCTCTGGGAAGGTCTAGGCCCACTGTTTCAGCAGTGCTGTTTGAGGAAAGAAAAATACTTCGCTTAACACCTTAAGGCAGTCTTTCATGTGATAGCACAGAGCAGTAGCCACTGAACTACAGCGTCATTTAGTAGAGCTCTGTAGGTAGGTAGAAGATAAAGGATTAGAAGCATTTGGCAAGGAAGATCTGCTTTTCATTAGGTATGCCCATTATTTTTATATTACAGGCACACATCCACTCTTAAGTTCATTAACACTACCTAGCTCCACTCACCTCCCTAACCAATTGATTCCCATTTTGGTTGCTGCTCTCTACTAGCTTCCTATGCTCTGGGATGACAGCCTGCTCAGTCAGCAGATTGGCACAGGTTTTTATTACTGAATTACCGTACATAGTGTCTTCTGCGTGCAGGCTCCTTAGCCTAGACAACTGTCCTCCCATCTCTTTTCCCCTCAGGCCCTCAAAAAAGCCTCTGGAACATACAATAAAGCAGGTAATTTTAAAATATGGCACATACAAACCTGTCACATGCATCTTAATCCTGTTTAACTGTTGCTACCTGTATGGGCAGAAGGGATTTTTTTTTTCTACTCATATTGGCTCTTTTGACATCTTTCCTACTAGGCGTTCCCCTTTATGCTCAAGGAGACCCTGTATCACACTCGTATGGTGTTGAGGCCTTACTGGTTTTCATTCCCTTGCTGATGTGCCCCAAGGAGAAAAGGCTGCTCTCACCAGGTTCCTCTACCACACAATGCCTTCTCAGACACCAAAAGGCCTTCCCTCCCTGCTTCCTCATGCCAAGAAGTCTCATTTCCCAGTGTAGTACACCAGGATAAGGCTTAGAGAAAAAATCTGCAGCATATTGACTATTTTCTGGACCTTTCTAGCAGCTCTAGCTTTTCTGACCACAGAATAGCTTTCCTTAGTCATCTTTCAATGTCCCCATCTTAATTCACAGGGCCCCAGTGACAGCTCACAGTTTGAATTGGAGAAGAGAGCAGCTTGAAAGGAACTAGCAGATTTATTTTTTTGTTTTCCTCTTAGTGTAAGATGTCCTATCAGCTAACATTTTCCAGCTGATACAAGCACAGCTGATCTGAAAAGCTGTGGTTTCTCAAAAGGCAGAAGCTCAGGGAACTTTACATCTGTTGAGTTAATTTATGGCAGTAATACAGTAACAGAGTAGTTTGCAGACATGCTGCTTTTTCTCTTCACTCCATGATAGATACACAAAATTTCAACCTCTGAAGCATCACATCTAGCTTTTGTAAAGATCTTTCCTCACAGGTATTGTGAGCAAGCCAGAAATAGATGAAAAAAGTCTAAGAGAAATTGTATGTAGGCTCTGCTAACACATAATTATTCACAACAGCAGCAGTAAGACTACCACATTTACAGAAAAATTATCTGCACTTTAATTTTGCAGGATTCTTACTTTTTTACTTCTTCTTCTGTTCCCAGGTGAGCTACTATTATAGTAAGGTGCATAGTTTGAACAGGAAGAAGAGCTCTCAACAGGTCAGGTTCTTTAGTGAATATGAGCTCTTGGACATCTTCAATTCTGTCCAAAATCTGCAATGCAGTAAACAGGAGACAGGGAAAAAAGTTTTCATTTTAGAGTGCCCAGGTATTACTGGAAGAATTCAGAATGCTGAAGCCTTACACCTCCAAAAATGCAACGCCAGTTCAAGCCAGGAATCCACAAAACAAAATCCCCCAGATCTGTCATATACAACTTTCTGTTTCAATTTCAAAGTTAGTTTTTCAGGAATTGATTGATTTGTTTTCCTTTTTAAAGCCTACAAGCTTAAACTCATAGCTCACATATGAGCCAGCACCCCTAGATCTTAAAGTAGGTCTGAATCTGACCCTAAGCACATTAGAATAAAACTCACAGCACTGTGTAAATATTAATGGGATCTTCATGCAGTTGTCAGTTGTTAATAGACTGTGGAAATTGAATAGCATTACCATAATTAATCTTATGCCATTTTCTGATTACAAGTTTGATCACAGATTAAACTGATGTCTCTTCCCAAAAGGAAACTATAACAGCAAACAAAGTAGATCAACTGAGTAAACATGCTGTTTTCTGAGTTGGTATTTTCTAGAACTGCATGGCCAATTTCTGGGTCTATCTGTGCCTTTACACAACTGACTCCAAAAAAAGATTTTTCAAAATGATCTGCTAAGGTTTATAAGCCAGCCATGGGAACAAGGCAGGAGGGAGAAGAATTCAATCACACAGGGAGTAAGCACCAGATGGAAGCCTTTGTTACAATCAAGTCATTTATAGATTTTCAGATTATTTCACTGAGCAAATTCTGGCTTACATGCCTAGGTGCTCACACATGTTAGAGCTCCACTTTATTTTTACATAGGTTGAAACAGCTGGGTCAATATGTTTTTGTTTTGCAATCTTTCTACATAAAGCCTTGGCAGTCATTGTGCAGTCCAGTAAATAGTCCCACAACCTGCACAGCAGAAGAGATTAGTATAACAAGTTTCTGATAAATGTCAGGATAAAGCCACACACAATTAGAAGAATCCATTTGAAGATACAAACATGAACTCCCTGAATTCAGACTCTTACAGTACATTTGTCACTATGAAAAACACATCATTGAAATGACTTTTACGTTAAGGTAATTCCTACTGCAACTGAGGCACAATTTATTATGTCCTGCTATTTACAGGGCACATTTGCACAGATCATGCAACCCTGGAGCAAGAATCAAGCCATCAAATTGTCTGACCACAAGAACTAAAGTCTTTGCCTCAACAGACTTGGTTAAGTCTTGACAGCAATTCCACAAGACAGCTTCATGTTGTCCCTTGCCTAGTATTTCTAAGAACGCTCTTGAAATAAAAGACCCTTTCACCTCCTCAGTTGGAGGTTCAGACAGCCAGGAAGCCAAGTTTATGTGAAATTCCTTCATGTAGATATCTAATTACTGCAGAGTAATTTTAATGTCTTCTCTTACCCTTTTTTGTCAGCTTCAGAACTTTCTGCTGCTCCTCTCACGGGAAGAGTCAACACCTTTTTTTTTTTTGGTGCATCAGTCTATAGCACTTTTCTATAAATGTATGTTTTTGATGGGATGGCTTTTTTGAGGGGTGAGGGACAGGAAGGAAGCACTTTGAGTATTGAAAGCCTGAGACCAGAACGTTCCTAGATCCACCCTGGCCCAAGCCCACTGCTGGAGGCTGGTGTCCAGCCTCCTGGGGCCCCACTAAACACAAGGGAAAAGGGCTGCTACACCCATCAGGACTGCAACAGGGTTTTTCCTTTGTCCTGTCGAAAGGAAGGAAAATGGAGACTGCCTTAGGCCCCATCATCTGTACCCTTCAGTGTTTGTTTCACAGAGCCTCACCCAGGGCTGTCTCAGGTCACTGTCACCCTTAAAGGCAGCACTTAAGAGGAGCATAAACCAGAAATATCTTGGGCAGAGCATCCAGCCAGGGATGTCAGAGCTGCCAGATTACGAGACTTGGTGTGAGGGCAGGGAAACCTCAAAAAAGCAGAATTAAGAGAGAAGGAGAAAGGGAAGGACATCCATAGAGCTGTGCAGGATGTGGTCACACGTTGTATATTAGGACACTCAAATCTCATTAAAATAGCAGAGTAAGTTAGGCATTCATGTCCTCTCTCAAGCTGTTCCATGATCTCACTCCTCAGATGGCAGGAAACTTTCTAGATTCCAGCCTAGATTTATTCTTTGCCCACTTCATACCCATTTGTTCCTCTGCCAACATTGTCTTCCAGCTTACATAGTTATTTTCCCTTCCTGGCATTTATCTTCCTGATGTGCTCTGCACTTTTGTTCACCTCTCAAAAGCCAGTCATATGTAGGAATTACTGAAAGTTATATGAGGCCATCCTCCAGATAACCTTCAGAGATTATTCCACTAAAGACAAAGCCGAAGCAAATAGCTGTCTACCAAAAGGAAGGCACCTTTGATATCTCCCTCAAAAACATACGTAAGAATTTCTACACTTAACTAAGGTAAAAACAAAAACTCAAAAGCCTGCCAAAACAAACTACTGTACTGCAGCCGCTTGTCACGCTGGAAAAAAAGAAAAAAATATGTACAACACATACAGCCATCCTACTTAATTATTGCCTTTCAGCAGTGTAAATACAGTCATGCCAGATATTGCATGGAAACCTAAGCTAGAAAAAAAAAAAAGGAATCAGGTTATATATTGCAACAAACAATATCCGTTTGGTTCAATAGAAAACCATAAACTAATAGCAGAAGCCGGTAGCCAAGGGTTGTATTTTCACTACATTCATACAAGTTAACATTCAGGGTTTGCCTTTTACATTTGCTTTATAATAAAAGATCCCAAGATGCATCTATATTATAAATATTAATAATTCACACAATTTATATGCTGTTTCTCAGTTCTGCCCATGCTAGCTGGGACACAGCAGTTACTGATTCAAATTAAGACTTTCCCCCTACCTGCCTGTCAGACAGAATACTCTGTTTCTTGTCTTTGCACTCCAAAGGTTTTCTTTCTCTTCTCTGTGCAATACATTTAAGAGCAGTCGTCTGCTGCCCCTACATCAAGGTCCACATCACAGGACATGTCCCACCTCACGATGCTGCTGTTGAGCAACGAGAGCAGAGTTCCAGCCAAGAGGGGTGCAGCGGCTGCTGGTACAAAGCAAGGGCTCTGTCTGCTTTTGCATAGCTTGAGCAGCTGCTGACAAAACAGCGCCATCAGCAAGTCACAGCTCTCTATGGGAGGCTAAAGGGTAAAAACCCTCTTCATAAAGGTGCCAAGAGCACTGCTTTGGGAAAGACACTCTGCATCCTTCTTTCAGAAAGTTTTGTGTGGGCTTCAAATTTCAAGCCAGTGGAATGGGAATAAGTGGCTCAAGGTGAGCCACTATCTTCCTTCTTACTTTATAAATACAAAGAGACAGAGTTATGCAGAAGTGAGGGGCTCCAAACCAATCATATACGCCTAATTAAAAGAAGTGTGAAATGTCTCTCCAGCTTTTCTATCATTTTCAGAACTTAATCCCATGGATCATAAAACAATGCCTGTAGTATCCAAGCCCTGCAAGGCTGTTTTGACATATTTCAAAAGAAACATTTACTGTATAACTGAAATGCTTTAGGTCCCTCACAAAGCCTCTAGAAGAAAATATTTCTATTTGGATTTCTGCTGTTTGCTGTGTTTTGGTTTAACAGCATGGAGGTAAAATAATTTGTTGCTTTTTCAACAGTGCTGCAAACATGGGAGTCACAGAATATAGCATACCTGGATGAAGTATGAGCATGCAGACTCTACCCATGGCTTCTTGGAATTAACTGTCTTCATAAGACAACAGGATAAATTTGATGGGTAAACAATGGAGAAGAGAGAACAGATCTATAGAATCTTCTGTAGAATAGAAGGAAATTCTCATTCTCCATTGTTAACTTCAGTGGGGAAGAACAGACAAATCATACTATTGCACTAAATATGGCTGTAAGACAACAGGATGGGACAAGGAAGATGGTAAAAGCCACTGCTTTTGCTTGGAGAAAAGACTACAGAATAGAAGATGTTATTGAGGAGAGACACATACCCACAGATCTTATAGAAGGAGCAATGGCAACCCTTAAAGTTTTGAGGTTTTAGTTGTGGTTTTTTTCCTAGCACTAGCTAAAACATTGGAGTGTTATTGACACTGTTCTAGCTACAAATACAAAGCACAGCACCTACAAGGGCTGCTATGGGGAAGTTTATGCCATCTCTACCATATAGACCACTTCAGCTAGAGGAGAAGAATTTGATCATTGTTGGCTTCTTAACAAGCTTTGAAACCAGGTAACTTTGAACTAATGCTTAGCTTCCTGTTTAACATTTTTATTCTTTTGACAGAACAGCTACTTCAAAATACCTGATCATCTGTTATTGGAATAGCAACAAAATAATTTGGAGTCTCTCGTGGACGTTTCTTAGACATTTCTTGCCCCATGTCTTCCTTCTGATCTTCCACCATCCCCTTGGGCCCTTCTTGGGCATTGTCTTGCTCCTGCCTCATCTCTGTAGCTCTTTGACCTTCCTTTTGTGGGGACAGGTCTGCTTTTAGCTGTTCCTGCTCTTGGCTCTGGTCCTGCAGCTGCTCCTCTGTCACCATCCTCTCCAGGTCTACTTTGTTTCCAACCAGCATCTCCTGCAGCTCCACCACTTCCACTCTTCCCTCTTCTTGGCTCTGGTCCTGCTGCAGTTTTGTCACCTCTCCTTCATCCTGTTTTTGGCTCAGAGCCCCCTGTGGCACCAGCTCCACCACAGCCAGTTCTCCCTCACCTTCAGACCTTGGCATTGGCTCTCCCTGATTTTGTTTTGGGGTCAACTGCTCTCCATCCCCTAACACTTCCTCACCTTGGTCCTGGAGGCAGGTTACTTCTTCTGGGTCATGGCCCAACTGCAGTTGCACAGTGACTTTGATGCCAACCACACCTTGTGCTCGCTCCTGTGGCTGTACCTGTACGGTTACTTGTGGGAGAGCTGGGCTTCGGCTCTGCTGCTGTAACTGCACCTGCACGGTCACCGATGGAGCCTCCCATCTTGGGCTTGGCTTCTGAGGCCGCACCTGCACTGTCACCTCTGGGGACTCCCATCCCTGGTCCAGCTTCTGAGGCCGCACCTGCACTGTCACCTCTGGGGCCTCCCACCCCTGGTCCATTTGTTGTGGTCCCATGTTTGGGGCCATGCCTCCTCCTGCTGTCTGCAGCCGCACATGGGCATTGTCCCCTCTCTGGGGCTGCTGATCAGGGGGCAGCGGCTGTGCTGCTGAGAGATTGTCTCCTCCTTGTCCCAGCTGTACTGGTGAGCACAGTTGCTGAGCTCCCTCTGGACGTTCATCCACCTGAACCTGCTCCTGGACCACCTCTTGATGCCTACGCTGGCATAACTCCTGTTTTACTACATTCATCCTACGACACCAAAGCTTTCTTCTCCCAAGTTCAAGCTGGGGATTCTCCAAGATCCTCCTTCTCTTTCTTTGGGGCTTGAAGTTATTTTTTAAAGGAACTGGAAAACAAACAAACAAAAAAGCCCAACAGCTATGAAAAGAAAGAATTGCTGAAAGAATAGTTCAGTCTAGATTAAGCTCTGTAGTTTGACTCACTGCAGTGAGATCCAACCATGTCAAATAGCTCAATCTAAAAACCTCTGGAGAGCCCACCTTAAGATTAAATCACTGTCTAGAGTTCTGTGTACTTTAGGTAGCCACTATATTGTGGTCTTGACTTCTGCCTTTGCCCTGTTTAGGTCTCATATAATTTAAAGTACAAGTACACCTTTTCACATCATGCAGTACTATAGAGACATAGGCCTTATCGAGAGACCGCAGGTATGTTACCTAAAGGTAGTTAGTTACAGACATCCAGGTTAAAATAATAACCTGAGCCGTAGACTCAAAAGCTGAATACAGCCAGAATCAAGTTTGCCGATGACGCTTTGGTCTCCTGTAACTGCAACACATTCCCATGTAATCAGACCTTCACACACTATTTTTTCCTCCAAGTACACATTACTGTTTAGTTTCTGCTGCAAACTCCTGCCATGTCCTCCTTCACTTTAGCAACTCCCATTCACCCTGTCTCATGCCCCTCTCCTCTGCAGTAAAGTTGCAGAGGAGATGTTTTTCTCATCCATACTGTTTGAATACAAGCAGAGAAGGCACTGAAAGCCCAAAGGGATTTTTTTTCTACTTGTTTCAGAGGCAAACTCCACAGAAGTCCAGGGTACGAAGAACATTTCTTCATCAGTTAGTGCAGCTCTTTAGATGCAGTAGATCCAACTGCACTGAGCAGAGTTGCCTCTTTTTAAGGAAGATATCTAAGCAAATAAATTCTACAGACCAAACAGGATTCATCTGTATGGGGAAAAAAATGCTTCAGACCCCAGATCATGACCGGCCTTAACTTCAAGTCCTTCCAAGTCATAGCAACGCTGAATTTTTCCCCTGAATCGGTAAAAATGTAAGCAGATATATTTTTCATAAATCTGCTCTCCAAGACAACAAAAATGTTTGTTGAAACTTTGCAAGAAAACCAGATTCTTCCCCACCCCCACAAAATCCACATCCATGAAGGAGTCAAAATTAAATAGACAAAGCCTAAAAAATTTATACACAACCTAAATATTTTAGTATTGGGCAATCCAAGCCACAGGTAGTACAGCTCTCTCCCTATATAAAAAAACCCAAAACTTATTTTTGCAGTGGGCTAAAGAAGAGAAGCTTAAGAAACTCACCCTGAGTTCATACAAAAACTATACTTACTTTCAAGAACCCATTTGTAGGGGTGTTATTCCATAGAAAGGGCTAATTTTAAAAAGGAGATTTGAATGCTTGCATGTATTTTATATGCAATTTCACTAATCAGATATCTCCATTTCTTGTATGTAATTACACTTTAAGAATTTTGTTGACTGTATGTCAAAGGCAATGCTTTGAAAAGAGACTAATGAAGATTTTTTTTTTAAATGCAAGAGACAAAATGCTTATGGAAATAGACAGATCCTACCTCTGCAGTGGAGGCAGTGTGGTCATAAACTAATTGTAAAATCAGCTATTACCCATGATATTTGTGCTTGGGCTCCAACAGAAGATTTCGTCCTTCTGGAAGAGTGTTTAATCAGGGATATGCCGAGTCCCTGATCAGCTAGTAGATGATCCTTAATGAAAGGCGGAATCTAGCCTAGTACTTCATCCTGAAACAGCACGAAACTTACTTTCAAATATCTCTCTGACATCAGCTTTGACAAAAGGAAGCTCTGCCATTGCTGTCATGTCTTCATGGTCCAAGTGACAAACTGGAAAAAAGAACAGCATTGAAGTCTCCCAGAGAGTCCCTTCCAACCATGTAACTGCTGTAGAACACATGTATGCATTTTTAAAGTACTTGTAATGGAATAACTGCTGCTGAGACACTGTTACACTCCTATGCCTTCTTCATAGTCAAGCTACTTGGACAGCAAACCCCTTTTTCTCTCTCAGAAGTCATCATGTAAGTTAAGCCTCAAGGCTATGCAAAGCCTTGGTAAGTACATATTACAATAGTTCAGTCAGATTCAGAGAATGCAGCATCTAAATCCTCTGTAAACAATTATTTAGACGCATGTAGATCAACCAGAAATAACGTTTAATGCACTTAAGAGTCACAGCAGGATTCGTGCTACTAGAACTTCATAAACCCCACTGAAGTCTTTGTCTTATTAGTGACATGAAGCTTAGGCATAATGCAACAGAGGTTCAGACAAATCCTTTCTTGCACTCAGCCCAAGCTGCTCCATGAAAAAAACATTAAAACATGAAACAACTTGTTAAAACAGGTAACAAGTTGCCATGGGGGTGGACATTTGTTATTGGTTTTTGTTGTTTTTTTCCCCCTGAGCTAACACTTAGAAGCATGTCATCTCTTGCATTTGTGCCTGCACAGCAGCCTTCAGTGGGGATTTCGCAGACTGTCACCCATGTAGCAAAGACAGAAACGTGACAGCTCAGACTGAGTCTAGAAGGACTGCATAGAAAGAAGCTTCAGTGTCCTTTACAAGGTAATGGATAATTTTTATGGTTTTCAATACACAACATCAAAGTAGTCTTGTAAATATTGCACAGTTCTTTCCCT